TGCTTTTATATCTATCGGGTTTGTCACGTCTTCTGCGTTTATTACTCTTTTTTTTAACTGTCTTCTGTTTTAAATTTACTCTTTTTTTATCACTGCCTTCTGTGTTATTTATTTGGGTTTTTGTCACTGTCTTCTGCTTTTATATTACTTGTTTTATCACTGTCTTTGTTGTTATTTACTCTTGTTTTATCATGTCTTCTGTTTTATATTATTTGGTTTTATCACTGTCTTCTGCTGTTATATTACTCTGGTTTTATCCTTCTTTGCGTTATATTACTCGGGTTTTGTTATGTCTTTGCTTTTATATCTACTTGGTTTTGTTACTGTCTTCTGTGTTATATTACTCTGGTTTTGTCACTGTCTTCTGTTTATATCTATTTTTTTTTCACTGCTTCTGGTTATATCTACTTGGTTTTGTTTGTCTTTGCTTTATATTATCTTGTTTTACCCTGTTTCTGTGTTATTCTACTTTGTCTTGTTACTGTCTTTGTGTTATTCTATCTTGTTTATCCTGTCTTTGTGTTATATCATTTGGGTCTTTTTTCTGTCTTTCTTTTTACATCTACTTTGTTTTTCACTTCTTCTGCGTTTATTATTTGGTTTTTGTTTCCTGTTTCTGCTTTATATTACTCTGGTTTTATCAGCTTTCTGTTAAATTCCCCGGTCTTTTACTTCCTCGTATACTACTCTTATTTACATTTGTTTCTCTTATATCTACTCGGGCTTGTTACTGTCTTCTGCTGTTATATCTACTTTTGGGTTTTTCAACGTCTTCTGCTGTTATATCTACTCGGTCTTTTACCTGTCTTCTGCTGTTATATCTACTCTGTTTTATCACTGTCTCTCTGCGGTTAAAATCTACTCTGGTTTGTTACTGTCTTCTGCTGTTATATCTACTCTTGTTTTATCACTGTCTTCTGTTGTTAAAAGCTACTCTGGTTTGTTACTGTCTTCTGCTGTTATATCTACTTTGTTTTTATCACTGTTTCTGCTGTTATATCTACTTTTGTTTTATCACTTTTCTTCTGCTGTTAAAATCTACTCTGGTTTTGTTACTGTCTTCTGCTGTTATATCTACTCTGTTTTTTCACTGCCTTCTGCTGTTATATCTACTCTGGTTTTGTTACTGTCTTCTGCTGTATATCTACTCTTTTTTTTATCACTGTCTTCTGCTGTTATATCCACTCTGGTCTTGTTACTGTCTTCTGTTGTTATATCTACTCTTGTTTTATCACTGTCTTCTGCTGTTATATCTACTCTGGTTTTGTCACTGCCTTCTGCTGTTATATCTACTCTGGTTTTGTCACTGTATTCTAACGTTATATCTACTCTGCTTTTATCACTATCTTCTGCTGTTATATTTACTCTGTTTTATCATGTCTTCTGCGTTTTATTACTCTGGTTTTTTCACTGTCTTCTGCTGTTATATCTTCTCTGGTTTTATCACTGTCTTCTGCTGTTATATCTACTCTGGTTTTGTTACTGTCTTCTGCTGTTTATCTACTCGGGTTTTTGTTACTGTCTTCTGCTGTTTATTACTCTGTTTTGTCACTGTCTTCTGCTGTTATATTTTCTCTTGTTTTATACTGTCTTCTGCTGTTATATTTTCTCTTGTTTTATCACTGCTTTGCTGTTATATCTACTCTGGTTTTGTCACTGTCTTCTGCTGTTATATCTACTCGGTTTTATCACTGTCTTCTGTTGTTATATTACTCTGGTTTTATCATGTCTTCTGCTGTTATATCTACTCTGGTTTTATCACTGTTTTTCTGCTGTTATATCTACTTGGTTTTTCACTGTAGGTTGTGCCCAAGAATTAGGCAAGCGAAGAATTCCTAAGTATTAAGATCCCAAGAAGTTGCAGGGGGTGATTACCTCATTCTCCTCCTGTTCTTCAAGTTTCTCTATGTATGGACTGATGAAGCCACTGTGTGGCGAAACGTTTCCTCAATAAAGATACCCAAGAGTTGCACATGTGTCTAATTTATCAACATGTCGGTTCTCTGAACCATTCATCTACAAACCTGTCAGACACTGCAACTTCTTGGGATCTTAATACTTAGGAATTCTTCGCTTGCCTAATTCTTGGGCACGACCTACTTCCACATTGAACAAATGTGACACCACCTATGACTGCTGCACCTCTCCTGCCATACGGTTTATAAGCTGCTTCTCCGCTCATCTGCCGTATTCTACTCAAGATTGATGGACTGAACACATCTACTCAAGGTTGAGGGACTGATTACCTCATTCTCCTCCTGTTCTTCAAGTTTCTCCTATGTATGGACTGATGAAGCCACTGTGTGGCGAAACGTTTCCTCAATAAAGATACCCAAGAGTTGCACATGTGTCTAATTTATCAACATGTCGGTTCTCTGAACCATTCATCTACAAAACTGTCTTCTGCTGTTATATCTACTCTTGTTTTATCACTGTCTTCTGCTGTTATATCTACTCTGGTTTAGTCACTGTCTTCTGCTGTTATATCTACTCTTCTTTTATCACTGTCTTCTGCTGTTATATTTACTCTGGTTTAGTCACTGTCTTCTGCTGTTATATCTACTCTGGTTTAGTCACTGTCTTCTGCTGTTATATCTACTCTGGTTTAGTCACTGTCTTCTGCTTTTATATCTACTCTGGTTTAGTCACTGTCTTCTGCTGTTATATCTACTCTTGTTTTATCACTGTCTTCTGCTGTTATATTTACTCTGGTTTAGTCACTGTCTTCTGCTGTTATATTTACTCTGGTTTAGTCACTGTCTTCTGCTGTTATATCTACTCTGGTTTAGTCACTGTCTTCTGCTGTTATATCTACTCTTGTTTTATCACTGTCTTCTGCTGTTATATCTACTCTGGTTTAGTCACTGTCTTCTGCTGTTATATCTACTCTGGTTTAGTCAATGTCTTCTGCTGTTATATCTACTCTGGTTTAGTCACTGTCTTCTGCTGTTATATCTACTCTGGTTTAGTCACTGTCTTCTGCTGTTATATCTACTCTGGTTTAGTCACTGTCTTCTGCTGTTATATCTACTCTGGTTTAGTCACTGTCTTCTGCTGTTATATCTACTCTGGTTTTGTCACTGTCTTCTGCTGTTATATCTACTCTGGTTTAGTCACTGTCTTCTGCTGTTATATCTACTCTTGTTTTATCACTGTCTTCTGCTGTTATATCTACTCTGGTTTTGTCACTGTCTTCTGCTGTTATATCTACTCTGGTTTTGTCACTGTCTTCTGCTGTTATATCTACTTGGTTTAGTCACTGTCTTCTGCTGTTATATCTACTCTGTTTAGTCACTGTCTTCTGCTGTTATATCTACTCTGGTTTTGTCACTGTCTTCTGCTGTTATATCTACTCTGGTTTTGTCACTGTCTTCTGCTGTTATATCTACTCTGGTTTTGTCACTGTCTTCTGCTGTTATATCTACTCTTGTTTTATCACTGTCTTCTGCTGTTATATCTACTCTGGTTTTATCACTGTCTTCTGCTGTTATATCTACTCTGGTTTTATCACTGTCTTCTGCTGTTATATCTACTCTGGTTTTATCACTGTCTTCTGCTGTTATATCTACTCTGGTTTTGTCACTGTCTTCTGCTGTTATATCTACTCTGGTTTAGTCACTGTCTTCTGCTGTTATATCTACTCTGGTTTAGTCACTGTCTTCTGCTGTTATATCTACTCTGGTTTAGTCACTGTCTTCTGCTGTTATATCTACTCTGGTTTAGTCACTGTCTTCTGCTGTTATATCTACTCTGGTTTAGTCACTGTCTTCTGCTGTTATATCTACTCTGGTTTAGTCACTGTCTTCTGCTGTTATATCTACTCTGGTTTAGTCACTGTCTTCTGCTGTTATATCTACTCTGGTTTAGTCACTGTCTTCTGCTGTTATATCTACTCTGGTTTAGTCACTGTCTTCTGCTGTTATATCTACTCTGGTCTTGTTACACTTCTTTTGTGTTGTTGAGGCAGGAAGTTTGTTCGCTAAAATTATTTTTTTTTTGTATGGTATCTTCTAGATTAATCTTTTATATTAATAATGCTGCAATAATTTCCATGACAAAGTTACTTTTATGAGAGACGTATGTAAACATTTTTTAAGTCAAAATTTTAATTTTATATTATATTATCCTGAGGGAAGTGTCTCAATAAATTGGTTATTGTTCTCACTTCCTTAGTTCATAAAAAAATATTTTTATAGCAAAATATTTTCAACAGTTAACCTGCTTGATCATACGAAATGTAGTTAACATAATGTTAATTTCGTCTTATTCCTAATTCAGAGTAGGTAATTATTTTCGTTACTGCCAATAGACAGTTCAGCCCTAGTTGAGCTAAACCCTGATCAAGCAGGCTGTTATTGATAAATTAGACACATGTGCAACTCTTGGGTATCTTTATTGAGGAAACGTTTCGCCACACAGTGGCTTCATCAGTCCATACAAAGGAGAATCTTGAAGAATAGGAGGAGAATGAGGTAATCAGTCCCTCAACCTTGAGTCGATGTGGTCAGTCCATCAATCTTGAATAGAATACGGCATACGTGCTGAGAAGGAGCTTATATACCGTTGGCAGGAGAGGTGAAGCAGTCAGAGGCAGTGTAACACTTGTTCAATGTTGAAGTAGGTCGTGCCCAAGAATTAGGCAAGCGAAGAATTCCCAAGTATTAAGATCCCAAGAAGATGCAGTGTCTGATGAACTGATGGACTGATGAAGCCACTGTGTGGCGAAACGTTTCCTCAATAAAGATACCCAAGAGTTGTACATGTGTCTAATTTATCAACATGTCGGTTCTCTGAACCATTCATCTACAGGCTGTTATTGTAGGTACATAATAGTTACCGAGAGCTGCTTTAGAATGACTAAGACAGATAAATAGTACAGTAAAGTAGAATCATAAGCTTTTTAATGAACAACATAACATGTATTGTTATTACCAACAGATTAAGCACATGCATGAAATATTCAGTAACTTTTACATAAGACTCAGAAGAAACTGTGTCACCTCGTTGAATGCATGATCAACCATAAAGAGATCAAATTCCTTCCTCCTCTCATATAGATCCTTCACCTCAGGAACATTGTAAAGGTCCCGAGCCACTGCTGGAAGAACGGTAGTAAACTGGGAGAAGGCTCCAGTCGGGTCGTTCAGGTAACTAAACATGTTTATGTTATGGAAATACGGGAGGCCATGGTTAACTTCTTGGATGTTGGGATGTTTGGACGACTTCGGGTGGTTGGTCAGCATCACTATCTGGAGAATGTTTGGAAACTCATTATTAAGACCAGTTTTAACGAATGTTGCAAACGACAACCCTAACTAAAACTCTTCAGTCGGAAAGACTCGGATAGACATCTTTTGAACCAACTTAGATAACTCTCACATAACACCAGAAATGCCTGACAACTATTTTCAAATTAACAAAAAAAAAAAAAAAAGGCACAATACCGTGACTGGAACAATACACAAATAACCCGTACATAGAAGAGAGGAGCTTACGACGACGTTTCGGTCCAACTTGGACCATTTACAAAGTCACACTAACGAAAACCATAGCAGGAAGGGTATATATAGGCAGGAGGTAGTAGTAGTAGTAGTAATAGCCGTATCTCCTCTTTTCTATATGCGGGTTATTTGTGTATTTTCAAATTCCAGTTATCTCTCAACCAGACATAATACAAAGTAAAATAATATCCTTTGTAGAAAAAAACACTGAATTATCTGCTAAGTTACTTTAAATATAATAAGGAACTATTTACTGAGGATTAACCTTGTGACCACGGTCGGCCAGAGCCTCAGCGAGCGGCATGAAGACATTCCTGTGGCTCTTAGATGAGACAGGTAGGAGCATAAGGATCTTGTAGAGCCTCTCAGGGGCGGCCAGTTCTCCAGCGGCACCTCCAGTTAGAGCAACAAACAGTATACAAGTAACCGCTAACATCATGAACCGCTGTGGGGTATATTAAAAAATGTAGTATTCTCAAGAATTTACTGTACAAACATTGGTTCATTTCACAAACTTATTTTCTTCGCTAAAAATCTTTCTTTACAGTTTAGACTCTGACATTTATAGACTTAGGCATTAAGAAATTCCTTCTTCTATCGAATAATAATAAAAAAAAAAGTAAAAATAAAAGGTATTAGGTGGTATACAGTTAGAATACCTACATTAATGGAACATAATATTTTCCAACGTTTCTTTCAATATCTAAAACTATATGCAATATATTACAATGGCAATATATTTTTTTCAAGTTGTTTTAGTGCTAGAAACAACGAGAAAAGCACATTATACTATATTCAAAGTTTCAATATTTACCCTAAACTTCTACCCATAACTGTGTTGTCTTATTTCTAATGACTGTTATTGTAACTGAACACAGGAAAGGGAACTGTCATGGTATTACAGTTGTTTCATGGTGTTACGATCCTTCAAACATGGAGACAAGGACAGTGATGTACCACTCAACATAAAGTTGCCCTACCTATTGGTAGGGTAACTGATGGTGTCAAAGATGGTGGTGACACATGCAGTGTTGGCAGTGTAGGTGGTGGTGTCAAGCGCGTGGTGTTAGCACCGTACCTGCGCTTCTGATGTCACATTTAGTGTTGGCAGGATAACTGTGCTGCTGGTGCCACATGTGGTGTTGGCAAGGTAGCTGTGCTACTGGTAGTGTCACATGGAGTGTTGGCAGGGTAGATGTATTGCTGGTAGTGTCACATGGAGTGTTGACAGGGTAGCTATGTTGCTGGTTGTGTTACATGTGGTGTTGGCAGGGGTAGCTTTGCTGCTGGTAGTGTCACATGGAGTGTTGGCAGGATGCTGTGTTGCTAGTGGTGCACAAGTGGTGCTGGAAAGACCAACTGGTGGTATCAGTGGTACTGATATTACAAATAGTGTTTGCAGGGCAACTGCTGGTTTCAGGAGTGTGGTGCGGCTCAACATGGTGGTGTCACACTAAGTGTTGACGGAGAAGTTGGTGGTGTCAGGGATACTGGTAGTGTCACATGCGGAATTAACCGGGCAGCTGGTAATGTCACATGTGTTGGCAAGTAGATGTAGATGTCACATGTAGTGGCAGCAGAGTGGTGTCAGGGATCTTGGTGTTGTCATGGTGGATGGGGTGCACCATGAGGCATGTTTAAGCTTCATATTAGAATGATGAACTTCACTGTCACTTGAATCAACACTCTCCAGCCAGCCACTGAGAGAATAACTGACTGAGGCAGTTTTACCCAGCTGCTGACCCAGCAGCTGGCGTTCTCTTTTTTTTTTTTGGGGGAGGGGGAGGGCTGAGGCAGTGTCTGACCATCCAAATAAATGGCTTGAAGACACTAAAACTGTGTTAACCTAAAATCAGGAAAAATAAGGCGTAAGTCTTACAAAATCGTCTAATCATACACAGCTTATGAGTTTAAATTTCAAATTTGTAACTGAAGAGTCAAAATGTATAAGGCTCTTATTATTATTACAATCAAAACAAAGTTAAACCCACAAGGATCATACAAGAATTTACAGGATGTCATCCTTCTCATGGAATGCATCAACATTAATATTTTGGAGTTTATAAAACGAGTTATTTAGTTACTGAGTGGAAGTCAATATCACTAATTTATTAAAATTGTATAATGTCCCCAAAATTCTGTTGCAATGATTATGTACAAATGATATTGACAGAGGAGACAGATCTTAGTGTTATCATACTAGATAACCATGTTTATATTGTTCGTATTTTATTTTTCAGACAATTACTGCAGAGTTTTTGGCATCTTTAAACAATGCTATTATATACCTTCTGTAAAAAAAGTTAGGAAGATTTTGGTGAGTCTTCATAATTCTGAGAAATGTGTAATAATTACTCTCGTACCTCTCTGTTGTGTTTCTTAACATTATTTCCTTCACCCCTGAGGCAGATAATAAGGCTATTTCCATTACCTAACACGATATTATCTAACCTGTTAACTATGCCACTCACAGCAGCTCCTGGGAAACTCTTAATCAGATGCAGAATGTTCCATTCATATATCCAATTTGCAAGTCCTAAATAATGAGAATATTCTTATCTTTATCAGTAGATATGATATTGATACATTTCTCATCGTCCTCTATTGTACACTCGTTTTGGAGTGCAGGAATGCAACTACTTACATTCAAGCTTCGGCAGTTTCATCTTTTTTACTATTCTGCAAACGATTTCCCATTAATTATTGCTGACGTCTTCCTTTTCATTACTGCCAACACGTTTCTCTTTGCTATTTTTAACCACTTAACATTGTTACACTTTTACCCCAAATTTTTTTCTCTTTCTTACTCTCCTCCTTGAAAAGCAGAGCCTCATTCTTTACTACACGACAATCATAATAATAATAAAAATAATAATAATAATAATAATAATAATAATAATAATAATAATAATAATAATAATATTGTTAATATTATTATTATTATTAATTATTATTATTATTAATGTATTGGCCGTTTCCCACCAAGGTTGTGGAGAAATTTTCTCCAGGAGGGGGGTATCAGCCCCCTTCAGCCCCTTTCAGCCCTGAGGGGCCCAGCCCTCTCAGAAGGAGCAAACATTTTTGTTTACTGCTACAGCAAGTAATTGATCCCAGATGCAATACGAGTATGTGACCTGATCAAGCGACCGCCACTCCTTGCAAGACTCCAGTGTTGCAAAGTGTAGTTTAATAAGAGACAGTCCATTTCTTACCTTATCAGGACAATTAAGGATAATCCTGCTCCCACTTTGCTACCATGGTAAAGATAGTGTACATTGTTGTCTATGCTTAAGACAGCAAGAATTAAGCATTCTGCTTTGCTTCATCAAGGAAATTTGGCAAGGAAGCAAAAAGTACTAGGTCAGCTTTTCCTTTATGTTCTAGGGGCATTGCAGCAGCGTAGGACGCTGTGAGGTCAGATTACTTTTGACTCTACTGAGAGAGACATTGATGTGCCAGGATAACCAACAAAGAACACTGTTCCACGCATTTTGCACAAAAGAATCTCAATAAACACTTACAGAGTAGTGTGATCAGCTTCTTTAATGACATTATGGTGTGAACAATTATTGGTGAACAGTGTAACAACGAGTGTTGCGGTCCAACAGATATCTGGGCATAACTACGAGTCAGACACATATAACCAGGCAAGTGTACTAACTCGTGATGTACTACTATTGACTGCGCAGTTGAGTAAAAAGTTCCGAGTTGGTCACTTACCATAAACCCCAGTGATAAGTGGACCTTTTAGTCCACACAAGTAAGTGTTGTCAGCAATCACTGTCTGATATATGCTGACAAAACACCCCCAAGGGGTAATTTATAATCATACCTAATATACTCTATTTCAGCACTTTGTGAAGTGGTCAAGGCAGCTTCTTCAAGACCTCGGCCTGCAGGGGCGCTGTCCACGATGAGCTTCGTATCACGATAATTTCTCCCCAATATTTAAACTTAACCGTAGGCTGTAAACCCTTTTCTCAACAATTTGGTCGTGAGCCGACTGGATAAAGCCACACAGTGGTCCAAAAATGTTGTACTACAGTGTACAAAGACCTACGAGCCAAGGTCCTTCAAAAAAAGCTGTAAAACCTAGTGTTTTAAACAATATAAATCAATATAAATGATCCCTTCCAGCTCACCACCAGGAGAATGTAACAAAGCCAACAGAAAACTTCACTCACCCAACTCCACCCTTTAACCCAAAGAAAACGGGAGCAGGGTGACTCACCCAACAGAAAACGTGGATGCACCCGTCAATCCACTGCTCTCCAGCTCGAGAAACGCTGACCAACATCAACAAGCCTGATGACCGTCAGTTTTGTCTGAGTGTATATACACATAGTGTTTTTAAATTTTTATAAATCAGAAATTAAATCGAGATTGTGTTAATTTTTTTCTTATAGATATAACGTTATTTAAGAAATTATACATAAAGTGGCAATCTTTCCATATAATAATTAGCTGTGACATTTGTATATGTGTAAAGAAATATACACGTGGATTTAAAGTTTTATACAGTGAACGTTATTGAATGTAAGTGAAATAAAGTGTATAACATCGTATTTACGATATCAACGTTGTCAGAGGCCTGACACAAGCAAACATAGCCATAAACAAAAACCCAGCCAAATGTACTCTGTACCCTTCATGTCATTTACCCTGAGGTACGCATAGTGTGGTCCAGTATGTCAGACCGTTTATGCTGACTTAAGCAAAAAACTCAGAGCTGTTTATACAGTACAGTGTTATTTTTAAACAATCTAAGTGTGGTGCTAGAATATTCAGTATACCATTAAAATGGCTTGTTTGAAAAACTCAGTTTTCAGTCCATTACAGACTAAATATAAACAATTATAAAATCTAATTTCATTCCGTATCAGATGATTGAACTCCAGATAACAAACATCGATTTTGTTGACTTGAGTTAAAATTTGAATTGCTTAACACAACTCTGAAATATTTAATTTCATGCTATAAAAATTATGAAAAAGGAGATTTCTTGAATTCAGATTACCCATCTGAGGATGCAAATAAAAATGTTTTAGATACATGTAGTAATCAACAATTAAGGTGACAGGGGTGCATGCTACGCCGCACAGCTCTGTCACAAGACCTCGGAAACCTATGGTCAAACACCTGTTTACATCCCAACACATGTAACAACAAATTAACCCATTAACCAAGCTATACCTACCTTTTCATTACCTAATTACCAATATCATATTATGGAAGAATTCATTTAGTGTTTTCAATCCATAGTACATTCACGAACTGACATAGATGAGATTGCTAAGTTCATTATTCTAAATTCCTTATGTGAAGGGAAGCCCTATGAACTGATTAAGTCATTTCGTTGGTTAAAGGCAATTAACGATCAAATACGTTACATGTCTTTAGCAGCACTTACTTTGAGGCCTGGGGGACAGGCTAGAGTTAGACATG